TTGTGAACTGGAACAAACGAATCGGTGAAGGGCGAACTGCAGGCTGCTCCTCTGTTGTGGTGCAGGGAAACCAAATATAGGCATTTCGTATCTCCTAGGGTGAATGTTGGGTGATTGAATTGCTGAGATGTGGTTACTCTTGAACAGTAAGCATGTCAGGCTTAATTCCGAAAACAATAAAGCCATGATACTGCTATTTTATGCAGTTTTTCGACCATTGTAGCTGTATAGCTATCCCTGAAACTTGAGACATATGTGGGACCCAAATGTTAGCAACAGACTATCGGGAATTATGATCAACAGTGTGCAACAAATAACGCATTTGTCCCCAGAGAAGTGTGACTATCAGCACTTGGGCAGGAATCAATTGTTTAATGCCTGTCTTATTAATAGCGTCTCACAACGACTTATCAAATAATACCGAACTGTTGCGCAAGTCCCACGATTCTTTTGAAATGGAATAATAGTACCGCATAAAAGTTCAACAGCATCAGTTGTTGTTGATGAGATCACGGTTACATAGCACATATGCGCTCAAAGGACCAAGCATTGTACATTCTATTCGTAGAAACATTGACACAGAATTACTAATAATTACTAAAATATTTAGCGCGATAGAATGCAGTGGCATTGTGTAATCGAGAGCCTATCCGCATCTGAACCGTTCTCCTCATCGTCATAGATTTTCACTGCGGAGGCAAAACCCAATGAACTGAGGCATAGGTATCATTGTTGACTCCGCTCTCTAGAATCATGGTTTATTCCTCTGTATCGATGTTCGCAGTTGAAGGTTGGCTACATGCTGATCCAGTCCGACATACATGTACTTGGCCCTATCGGGCACAGGCAATCTTTAAACTGTGAATGAGTTTATTGTGTATACTTCGCTCCATCCGGTCTCCGAGCTTTAGCCTTTACTAATAGTGGTAACATGTACTCAGCTACTCGTAAATTGAATTATTTGGTTCCCGACTCTGTTGCAACCTTCCCATTTCCGTGCGCGGAATCAGGACGAGGAGCAAAGAGCTGGGAAACTAAACCAAACACATCGAATTAGGCGAACATTCTGTCATTCACATGAAACAAAATTAAGTATGAACTCATTTTCTTGAACAAATTGGATGCAGAATAAAATGATCGATTATCGAGAAATTAACTTGGACCAATCCAGGTCTTCCCTGAGTTGACCTAGAGAACTGAAGTGTGTTTAGCAACATTGGTGGGATTCGAGTGCACAAAATCACGGCTGATTTGACGCTGACCAGTATAGTTTAATTGTCCTAGTACATGAAAGAGTTATATCGAATGTCTATTTTTACTCCATGAAACCGTTGCAAGCAATGGAAGGCCCGTACAACTTGTCTTGTCCTCCGCTCCCCTGCCGCCACCGAACCACTCCGTTTACTTCAAGTAAAATTTTAAAAATGATCAACAAAATGGTCGTTAATTTCATCCCATCCAAAACCTGATTTCCGTCGAGGGGCAGAGATTCTGACAGGCCATAACTGAGGAGACAACGGTGCCCCGTTTAGACCACAAACCGATAAGCGTTTCTCGGAGCGAGGGTTTGTTTTCGCTCTACTGTTATTGATAATCTCTGTACTGGATATATTTGAAATGATTCGTTCGTTCGTTCGTTCGAGAGAGAGATAGTGATTAGTAGATCAAACAGCTATACATTATTTTATTCTCCTTTATTAACTTATATCCATATTTTGTGTTATATATTTCTGACGATAGCCATGTGTATGCCAAGTGGATGTTTGTCTGCGTTAAACAAACTAGACAATGGTTCTGAAACCAGTTTGATTTATTCATAAAAAAACGTTATCATCAGTTAGCACTCGTTTAAAATTGAAAAAAATGAATTCCTTGGAATAGATGTACATCTCAAGCACATGATGAGAGTGTTCAATCGGAGCTGTTGCCTATAAGAACACTGACATGACCCAGTTACAAGTTGGTGCACAACGCTAGATTATTCAGAATGGCTGCAGTTTGAAAGAGCACTGGAGATTGTTTTTGGTGCTATCGAGGAACGTGGGGATAAAGATTAAACCATGCCTGGAAAACCACTAGCTGCTTGGATGACGAATTGCTACAGTTTAATTTTCATTTTGTAAACGGGCTAGTATGTTCGGCTTCATGGTGCAACCAAACACAAGAAAATGATTCAACGATGTCATAGTTTCCGACCCAATCAAACAAAAATTTGAATCACCCTCTGTGGGAGGTCATTTGGTCGTTTGGTTTAGATAATAGGTTTGTTGTGGACTGTTGTAAATGAAGTAAAGTAAACGTTTAATGATAAGCCATGAGGCCAGTTCATCGTTGTATGACTCCATCAAACGGAGACGCAAGTGGTGGTTGATTGGTCTATCTAATTCAATCGGCGCACGGTAGTGTATAAATTGTGTGTATAAATGGACCAAAAGATAGAACTAAATCCATCTTTAAAAGCGTTTTTTGGGGAAGACGCCAATCTCGTCTAATTCTTTAACAATAAGTTTCGGTTATCCATTCGTTGGAAGTATTCGGAACCTTTTCTTTTCTCCTTTTTACTTCCCTCTATTGAACATGCAGTGCGACAGTATACAGTAGGGGGAGGCGGCCAATCAAAGGACTAGTATACAATCGGACTGATTGTTTCACGAGAGTGGTGGGGTTAATTACTTAGTAATGGGTACGGAGAGGGACATGTGGAATTATTTGTAAATGCGTGTATCACAATCATCAATTTTATTTAGATTTCAGGCAAGTTTTGTAGAATTATTTCTAACCGAATAGGCGAACACCAACAGGTGGGTCTATGGTTATTGCAAATTATGTTTTTATTTCTTGTAGAGTCGCGGCAAAATATTCTCCTCCCCCCCGTGCATCAAAAGCATGGATACAACAGAACCGAAAAGAAAATGGTTAGGTCACAGATCTCATTACTCCAGTTTGTCTGATACGGAAGGAAAAACATCCAAACAAAATGATAGCATCCTTCAGCGATATTCGATGAATACAGTTCACACAGCTGAGAATCTGTGCTTGACAGTGCTGGACTTTTGAAAGAAATAGACGCTTGACGTTCACCTCCAAATCTGTAGTTGAAGCTGCGTTGTAGTGTGATATCAATCTTGATTTCCGTTGAGGGCGGGACCATGATGCACAGAAATGGGTCCCGGTTGGCAAATGATTGTTTACAGTGTGAGTCAGTTGAGAAAAAATACAAGTTATCTTTCAAGAACTAGAAGAACAGATAAAATATAAAATAAATAAATAAATGTCTTTTTACTTCCTTTTTATTCATTGAATATACAAATACATAACCAACTTTCAGGAAGGGGACTGCGGCCATATAACGGCTGCCTGGGGAAGATACAGAAACAGGGAAAAGGGGCGGCACTGGAGCGGTTCGAACTCGGGACACCCAGGTCACTAATTGGTGACCTAACCACTTGGCCACCACCGCCCGCGTTAACTAACTCTGGGAATTGAGAGCACGCTGAATTATTTCATTAAAACGAGCTAGAGGTTTAGCACATTTTCAGACTCGCTAGTTCCACAATCGAGTAAACAGAAGCACTTTTAGTCTTCAGATTCTCTTAAAAATCTTTTACAAAAACTGAGGGAGGTTTACCGTTTGAGGTTAATCGGATTGGACTTCATTGACTCCTTGCTGAAGTGAATCGAAGTAGATGCTTTTTACCTTGATGTATTAACCGATGTCTCAGGATTGATTTTTAACTTCATTTCCGTACCGGGTAACCTCTGGTGAGGTTTTACGTTAAGGGGACGGAGTCACATGCCACATAGCACACAAGGAATGGCAAAAGATGCTGTGAAATTTATCAACTATGCTGCTTTGTGGTTTACGTTGGTTTTATCACTTTATTTTTTCTTCTCTGTTGTGTTGGCTGTTGGCTGAAAGCTTGTATATAACTCTCTAAAGCCTGAGTACAATAAAATACAATACAATAAAGCACTCCTATCAACAGTGTCAAAATCACCAACGTTGCCAGTGGGTTTGGTTTTCAATTTTATAACAATCTGTTTGTGTCTTAAACATTGCTTGGTGATGATGTAAACTTATTCACGCCATCAACCCTAAATGGATTTAGTCAGCTCTCATTATCGTTGGCCCCTCGATGCTTGTTGACCTATTTTTCATATCCATCCGTCCTGACGGAACCACACCTCTCCTGCCTCCAAATAAAACTGACCTATATTCAAACCACTTTTAGCAGTCCTTTGAACTAAACAATCTGGCTGCGCTTGAATTGGTCAGAAATCAACCTACAGTCCGCTGCGATTTTGTTCGCGGTTTAGTTCGTACGGTGGCCAGAAGAACAATAATGATGATAATATTGACCAGTTGAAATCATCCGTCGATGGAAATCCGTCGTTGAACGCGACGACTAGTGGCTAATTCACCATGTCTTTGACCCCAAGCGTTTACTCCCCAAGGACCGGTGGAATGCCACTCGTCTGGTCCGGTGCACCTTTGATTGGTCACCCGGTCCAAATGGTTTAGCTTATCGCGTTTCTGCTCTATTGTCTGTGTATGCACGTGCGCGCGCGTGTGTGCGTGTGTGTGCATACCCATTGGTGCGTCCGCGCACAAGTATGTCTGTTTGATTCCGTTTGCTTATGCACGCAGGCACGAAAGGTGTGTGTGTGCGCGCGCAATGGTGCTATTCAATCTCGCCTGTAACGTGTGTAACCATGGTTGTGCGCGTGTGTGCCTGGTTGGGCGAATGCGCGACAAAGTTAAAATACAACGTGCTCGTCCGATTGGGTCCCCAAACAGTCATTTTGTGATCTCAAGATTGCACTGATCAGCTGTGTAGAAAAGAGCAGTTGGCTGACAGGATCTACTCAGTTCCACTATGCATATCCAAAGGCAGATAAAACGTGTGCACCGGTCAGCACTAATTCGAGATTCCGTTTCTGACCGAATGAGAATTCCGTGATGCTGATCGCGAACCGCATGACTCTGTATACCACCTGAGATGACCAACACATCGGCCGGTTGGCTACCCATTGGGTTAACTGTATTTATTCTTCTGGCTACTTGGCTTGCAAATTGCATACTGTTGGGCGGTGCATTGCAAACGGCTAGTAGCGGGCGTATTGTTCCCGTCGCATACTTTTTTGTTGGCTCACAGGCAATCGCCGCTCTGCTCTACGTCACCTTAAATCTACCTCCAGCCGCTGTGGGTCTCATTTTCGGTGAGTTGTGAATAAATATTGTAAACCAGTAAAGTCCATTGGAATGAGCCGTTCTACCATAAACATACATATTGATAATATTTAGCCGAATTCGAGATTTTATTTGTGAAATAAACTGAAGCAGTTAGTTACTGAATCAAATTATCCAGTTTGCTTAGCTACGAACCCTGTTTGACACTCAATAAAGCTCATCGAATGCGGTATTAGGCCAGGATCTTGCACAATACGCAGAACTACCGAACTATCCACAAGGAAAATATTCTTTTTTGGATGGAAAAATGCAATGTATTTGGTGACTCAGTTCTATCGGATGTACGTTTCGGGATTCGGAACACAGATTTTCGCTTAAACACAGGGATTGAATGCATTGGTTACTGCTGACAGTAGATAAATTCATAACTTATCTACCCCTGTAGGCTAACTGAGCACGTCAAAATATAGAGAGTAATCCTCAGTTGCACCGTTTTGTTCCCCAATCCCCATCAGTTAGTACTTACTCCGGAAGGATTGCGTATGGTCTGAGGCTGCAGTGTAATCTGACCACAAGACTATCTAGTTTCAGCTGACCGTCTCGAAGAATGAATCTATGGAATGCCCAAAGCAGTTACTTGATAAACAAACTTAAAGGGAATCATAATATTATGACACAGTTTGTTTACACGTGTTGGAACAAGATGCTCAATTCGGAGGTGGAACCGACGTCAATGGTTATTTTTACTGCTTTTGTAGTATCCAAATCTCGGTCAAATTTTGCAATTTAGCGTGAAATTTAGGGATATCAACGATCAGCGCTTTACTATTCGTAGCAGATAACAGAGATGGCATCAGATTTTGTAATGGCTTTAAGGACTAATTTTGCATGTGGTATATATTGGAACATTTTAGCCTCATTGATCCCCTCGCTTCCTGCGATAATCAGCCAGTACGGATGGATTCCCTACAAACTTGTTTCACTCAGTCTCATTTGCGGCTGAACAAAACTTGCGACAGGCCAGAATGAGGGACGTGTGGTGTGGGGGGTGAGAGGATTCACTTGACTCATCTAACCACGCAAATCAGGCAAATCGGCTATTGTTCAATCGTTTGCTAGGTCGATAACTGATTAGTGTAATGTGCATGTTCCCCGTCAGATTAGGGGCATAGTGTCGCAAAGAGATTCCCGAAATAGAGCCTCAATTTACCTGATCGTTTTTCCGCATACCCAGATTGCTAAATTCACATTCTGAACACAGTTTGACGCTTTTGTGGGAGTGTGTGATAAAAATTCCCGTGCAAATTTCGCACCCTACACAGATCCAGCTGAGGACAGACGCGGTACAGCTTATAAGTAGGCTAACTTTTTCCATGTCTGGGTGAGGAGCAGAGATCTACTTCTCCAGCTGTTTTTACTCATGCATGGAAAGAATAACCAAGCTTTCTTTCTCTCTCACTCTCTCTCTCTCGCTGTTATGTGCTAGAGTTTGCTAACACGAAACACCATTATAAATCAAGACAAAACAGTTCGTATTTGCAGGTTGCTTTCTGATTTGCTGCGCAAAAAGTTTCTCGCTGACTTTGTTGCTAAAAACCACGGTTGATTTATTGAGTTTTTCACATGTCACTTTTCTACACAACGTGACCAGAATGTCAAATGATCGTTACCGGATTTCTCACTCACGTAGTGAGGCAAATGTGTGACGCACCGTGTATGTTTCTGTTACGCTTTTGAATACCCTTTTTGACCAACTTGCTTTTTCTGAAGTTGGTGCAGACGAAATAATCGTTTATTATGCTGCCTAGAGGAGTCAAGTGTGTGTGCGCATTGCCATAAGTTGCAGTGGATTTGGATCGATTTTTGGGGAGACAAAGAAGGTGGTAAAGTGGCAAAGCAAACTAAATGTGTTTCAATGAAAAGGTTAGTGAAACTCACCATTTTGCTGATCGGGATTAAACTGCTTGGCCTTCATTGTCTAGGAGAAAAAGTAGTAGTGAGGCAGAAAACTGATTTGGCATATTGCTACATTTTTCTCAGGTTGCTTTTAAAGCAAATTTCATGATTTATGGCATATATTGTATACATATTGTATCTACAGAAAAAAATGGTATGTTTTAATTGCATTAAGTAGATTGCTAACAAACGAACTTGATTTTCCGAATTTTTAAGTTCCACTCCCTCCGATTTGTTGAGAAGTCCAATTTTAGTAACCCAAAAATGCAGAAACCGGACATTTTTCTTTTCTAACGAGCTATCTAAATAACCGTAAATAGAACGTTTTCATAAAAATTAGATTATGTTATAAGGCATATATCTTCATATTAATCCGCAATCTAGATTCCTTTTCTTATAAGTCGCAGTTTTATTCGTCAGAGTGTCCTAATTGCTCGGAAGTTGCTGGAAGATTAAAACATTTGTTTCCGTATTCTTCAAATGCACATAAACGATGTATTTAAGGGGTGCGGTGTGATGAATAAGTCCTAGATGTCGTGGTGTTATAAGGAAAATTTCAAACCCGAAATCAACCAAAAAGTTGACCATAACTTCCCAGTGCCAATGTTTGCCTGCCATCGAATAAAGTATAAATGTATTGGACGGGACTCCAAGTAGATGGAATTTGGGAGTTCCAAAATACCGGAAAGATATATCAATAGAGTGTGACAAGTTTCCAAGTCAGAAACAAGAGGGTACAGCTATGTCAAAATTTATTTGGTGAAATGGCCAAAATCTTGGGCGTCTGCAGATTTACTTTCAAAAAGTAAAAAAGTAGCTTACGTGACATTAGTAGGCTCGGTTTCACATTTTTTTGTAGTTTGGTGATGTCAACTAATATTTAAACAACCATTCCTTCCGCCGCATTGAACTATCGACGTTCATTGCATCTGTGGCCGCATGCAAACTTGCCACAGTGTCAGGTGCTTATTCGTATATCAAGCAACCGGTGAAAAGTGATTATTCTCTCTTTGTCTGCGAATGTATTCGTTAAATCTTTCTGCTCATAGGCTAGTTCTGGCGTAGCTAGAAAATTTTACTGAATTGAAAACGTTTAAACGTTGAGAGTTGAAATTTCTGGGTTCCCGTGGAAGGGACTGATTTTATGATCAGAAGATATTGTCAATTCTATGGAATCCAGAATAAAGCTCATGTGACTCCATTGTAGAATGCCCTTGGGAGACTGAGAGTTGAGAATTCTAGTCAAGTGGTTAAGCTTACCAACCTATCACCGAGGACGTGTTCTAGTCCCGCCACCACCGACACCCCTTAATTGACCGCTTTCCTTCACCCGGAAATTGTTTTCATTCCTGTAAAAAATCAGTAAAAGAACGTAAAAGGTAAGATATTATTAGAGAAAACGCTAAGAAAAATGTACAAGTAGATTAGAATTACAACCCTGGCATATTGTTAAGTATTTTGCCGATGAGAACAGTAAGAAAGAACTTATTCAGTCATGCACTACACCAGCGGTTTTTCCAACAGTGATTTCTAAATTAAGCAATATCTAGAAACTTACTTGAACTATTTGCACACTGAGCGTCCTCACTTACAAAATATTTTACAAGTGGTAACACTCAAGCGGTTATCTTTGTTTTCCTTAATAGGATAGGAACCCAACGATCGGAGGTTAGACCACTGTCACCGCCAGCCAACCTCGGTCGTATTCACCTCCGTTGCTGTTTCAATTTATCGACTGACTACGCGGTTTGGGGACACAACAGGCTGAAACACCAAAACCCTCAGTGGAGTTCATAAATTAGATGGTCAACTTCGTTGCATCCGATTCGATAGAAGAAACGGTTGTTGAACTGAATTTAAGTGAATTAAATCAAAAAGGCGCAATGCATTGAGAATGAATTCAATCAATCAAAAACGAAGATGATCAAACGGCGTCACAACTTGGCGTTTGATCATGACTACGGTTCCTCAAATTCTATTATCAGTCGTTGTAATACCGGCATCCATCGCCACTTTGTACCTACTATATATCAAACGTGACAAGCCAGTGTGGATCAACTTTTCCTTATAATAACCACATTTTGAAAAGAGAAAATCAAGGGCAAAATCATTGGTAACAAAACTGAACCAAATGGTCTGAAAATCACAATATTCCCGTCCTATTTACGGATGCAGTCCTATTGAATTATTTGAAATCAATTCCTTGGTAGACGCACACGAATTTGATGTACCTCGTTCCCAGTTTTCAGTTCTAGACTATCGTGCACGGTGAAAATCTTTGTAAAGTTTGATTTATTATCGCACGACCGGATATGATGTAATTATTGTCCAGAAATTTTTCTGTGCACAGGACTGATCATCGCATATATCAGTGTTTACTCAATCGGATGGATTGTGTAACTGGATTGAAGCACAAGTGCATTATGTCGGTATTTGCCCCAAGGGTGAATCCAAGTCGGATGCGGGCGAGAGGTATACAACATCAGTGAGTGAATTCTCCGAGGTGTTGATGGTTCCCGCATCCACCATTCTCCATATGCACATGCTTGATCAAGCACAGTGGCCGCAAACATACATGCATTTGCTTTTGCAGTTAACGTGAAAATGTGTTTTCATCAACGGAGAAATAAAGAATTGGTTTCAGTTGTACAGAAAACGTCATTTGAGGATATAGGACGATGAATCTCAATCCCGCATTATGCTCTGGACTTCATTGACTTCATCCCGTTAAAAAAGCACATCTCAGTGCTACTTTAAATTCATGAGATCAGTATTGCTATAGGGAATCGTCGAGGGATTCTACATACAAAAAAGTAACAGTAATTATAACACAGGTATTAATCAAACTCGTGCAAAATCCTGACTTCAGTCACATTTGTCCCTCCCAATAATAATCAAATTCTTAACCGAATTGCTTAAGTCCTCATTTCTCACCACACTACTCAGATGCTGAGTGTTCGAATTTGATTCGTAATGCAGACAAGCATTGTTGTCATTGAACTGTAGATTTCTAATTGTTCGGTCCATTTTGACTTTCTAATGCTGAATGTCTCTTTCTAGGTTGATTGTTGAC